GGGAGTTCTATTGTTAGTTTCCTGAGGAACCTCCACACTGTTTTCCAGAGGGGCTGTACCAGTTTACATTCCCACCAACAGTGTAGGAGGGTGCCCGTTTCTCCACATCCTCGCCAGCATCTAGAGTTCTCTGATTTGCTCATTTTAGCCGCTCTGACTGGCGTGAGGTGGTATCTCAGTGTGGTTTTGATTTGTATTTTAGGGAGAGATTTCTAATTGTGTCTGTAAGTACTTAGTCTACTGAAGGGAGAAAGAAAGACTCTCTCTATGGAGGCATACCTGAAGTTGTGTATGCCTCTTGGAAGTTCTCATTTAAGGTAGCCATGAAGGTTTAGTGAGGTGTACCAGTGGGAAGCTGCTAGTTTGTTATGAAGCAAAATCAGAACAGTGAATACAGCAAGAGCACGTTGTCTTTTTATCCTCCAGCTGTCAAGGCGATGAATTGCTCAAGCATTTGGGCCATTACCAAAACCTCCATATATAGAAGAGTAGCCAGGAGCTGCACATGAGGCTCCCTCATAAGAATTAGCATTTGTGGACCCGTTTGTGAGTATGGAGGCATTATCATTATTCAACCAAGACTCAATGTTATCACAGACTGAAGGTCTTCCTAACTATATGGGTATGACAGCCAGCTTACATATGGTCCAACTTATATTGGCTATTCCCAAATGTGTTTTCTATATGTATTCAAGAGATTTCGTTTCCCCTACCCAGGGTTGGATTAAATTGAGGCAGGGAACAAGTATGTGCACATTTAACATTCTAACCTATAAAAGGGACCTGGGAAACAGTTTAGGCATGAGTGGCAATTAGGATTCCAGTGAAATTACTTGTAAGGTGAACTAAGGTGTCCCTGTTCCTGTGGACAGGTCGAGGTTTCTGGTGATAAATCCAACAACCAGTAGTAGGAAAATATGAATAAGAGCATTATCTGTCCATGGAAGAGGGAAAAGAAGTAACAGTGAGGAAAGGTATGTGAGCCTGCTTCAGTCATCTGGGGAAAGCTGTGTTGATCAGATGTGTGATTTAATTCCTGGAACTTTACTTGCAAGTCACCAGTGGGTATGTAGGTCCAGCCTGGGTTTAGTGTTTTCTTTGGATGTGACATGTGAATCAGGAGTCTATTTCTTGAAATTTGGTGGCACAGGGTTGGTTAACAGTACCTGGTAGGGCCCCTCCAGTGAGGTTGAAGAGAGAACTGTTTTTAAAAACATTTATTTATTTTTGAGAGACAGAGAGAGACAGAGCATGTGCAGGGGAGGGGCAGAGAGAGGAGACACAGAATCTGAAGCAGGCTCCAGGCTCTGAGCTGTCAGCACAGAGCCAGACGCAGGGCTCAAACCCACGGACTGTGAGATCATGACCTGAGCCGAAGTCGGACGCTTAACCACTGAGCCACCCAAGCGCCCCGAAGAGAGAGCTTTTTGAGGTGTCTTGGAGTAGACAAAATCTCTGGGTTGCGAGTTGTGCTTAAGGCTTTTTCTTTGGTGAGCATGCCATGAGGATAGTTTTACTAAAGCGTGATTATTCTCAACAGAAGGAATCAGGCCTTTTCTATATAGGAGTGTATCTCCTTTTATCAGCTGTGGATCAGACGAGGCAGGAGCCAAGTGCATCAGGTGCCCTGTGACTGTCTTAAACGGTGAGAGTTAATGAGTTACAAAGGGGATGGATCTCAGATTTAGAAGGACCCAATCACAGTGCTTTTGGCCAAGTTAGTTGAAGGGTCTCTACACATGTTGCCAGTTGAGTCTTAATGGTTCTGTTAGTGCATTGCACTAGCCTGAAGGACTGAAGGTTGTAAGCACAGTGATAGGGCTCTAGAACCGGCCAAACAGCATAGACCTATTGTCAGACTTGACCAGTGAAGTAAGGTCCTTGGTCACTTTGAAGCCTGAGAAGGCCTCCTTAGGTAGGAATAATCTTTTCTAATAGGATTTTAGCTATAGAAGAGGCCATACCCTATCTGCTTCAGTTCAGTGAGAAAACAAACCGTGATCAAAACATTTATATCCACAAGACAGGGGGAGCTGAACTTCTAATGGTCTATTGGGCAATTTAAAATGCCAGTGGGTGGTGTGGATGGGTTTCCCAAAGTTGTGTTTTGGACAGATAGGCCAAGCAAAGTGGGCACTTCTGTGGGCTTGTTAAATATCTGTACCAGAATTGGATTCATAAAGCCTATCGTCTTATTGGGAAAGCAATAATTAATGCTTCTACAGTGGTTAGTAATGAGATTTTAGAGTCTCTGGCAGGACTGGGTTGTTATTTGGCTCAAGCTAGAGTTCTCTCTTTTTATCAAAACGACAATTATTAGATTTTCAATCTAATTGTTTTTCAAATTGTTTTTCCCTCTCTGGGGCCAACTGTTGGTTATATCTTATCAGTTTTTCTAGATTATCATTTGAGGCAGCATCCCTTAGGACCATGACAGAGGATTGGTTATTGGTTCCTTTAAGAGCAGTGTCTTTAATGGAAACATAAGCAAGGCAGTTTCCTTTGGCCTCTAGGGAGTCAAGTGTGGAATGCACAAGGGCCTTAATAGTAGCCAGGGCAGTTGGCAAAGTTTGACATCTAGTAAATTTAGGATGTAAGAGCCATTTTTAATTTTATTCCCATTAGAAGTAAGGAAACTTTGCTGTTTCCATAATATCCGAAAGTCATGGGCTGCCTGAAGGACATACTGTCAATTTAGGTATTTGTAGTTTTATCCTTGGCTAAGGTACAAGTCTGAGTAAGAGCAAATAATTCAGCCTATGGTGTCAAAGTAGCCAAAGGTAAAGGTGCTTCCTTGATGATTTCAAAAGATGTTAGAATTGCATACCCAGGAAAATACCATCTTTGTTCTTTAAATAAGACCCATCAGTAAACCATGAAAAATCTGCATTGGTTAGAGTTACCTATAAATTGTCGTGGACAGTCAAAAGGTAATCTGTCAGCATCAAGTGGTGGTAAGGGGTTTTATCAGAAGGGTAAAGAGGGTAGAATAGCAGGGTCAAGGTTATTACAGTGAGGAAGAGTTTTTGAGGAGTAGTGAGAAGTTCATAGGAGGTGAGGTGAGATGGCTGGCCAAAAG